CAGGCCATGGAGTGGCTAAAAGTGTGGGTTCTAGAGTCAAGCTGACCAACATTCACTGTGCGACTTGGGCAAGTACTTGACCTCTCGGAGGCTTGAAATCCCTGTCTGTAAAAGTGGGATGATGGTAGATAACAGGCCAATGTGTGTGATGCACGTGAAATGCTCCGCTCAGTACGTAAGCTCAATAATGGCACTTTGTGCTGTCCCTTATCTTGGTCATTACGAAGTTCTGAGCTCGTGGTGAAGGCAGCAGTCTCTGTGACTTGCTGCTGTTTCCTCTTTTCTGTTCCCTTCCAGATCGGCTCTGCTACCATCAGGTGAGCCATGGCACCTTCTGCCTGGACTCTTGCAGCCTGCAGTTAACCAGTCACCCATTTCACCCTTGTCCACTTCCAACCCATTTTCCTCTACTCTATTCAGAGTAATCTCTCCAAAATTCAAATCTGACTATGTCTCTCCTCTACCTGAAACCCCTCGCTGTCTGCCTATTATAGTTCCTTAAAACCCACAATCCACTCCATGGCTCACAGGCCCTGTGTGCTCTAGCCTGTGCCTACCTCTCTCAGGTTCTTCCAAGTCAAGCCTTCTCCTGCCCCTGTGCATCTTCCCCTGCGTGGCTGGTGCTTCTTCACTCCCCTGCCCCCATCTGGCTTACAACTCAGCCTTCTCTCCGCTCAAAGAAAAGCACTTGGTCAGAGGCCCTCCTGGACTTCATGATCTAAATGAGGTCTCCCTATTTAACTCTTATCAGATTACTTGTTCAATGCGATACCACATTTGTAGTTGGGAATTTGTCTGTAATTATTTTATGTCTTTCTGCGTATTAGATCTTAGCTCCAGGAGGCTGGGCCCTGTCTGTTCCGTCCCTCACTGTGTACACACAGTGCTGCTCTAGAACAATGTTGGGCGCTCCTTAAATAGTTTAATTAACAGATGTATGAACAGACAAGTGAATGAAGGAACGGACGAATGGATGGATGAATGAATATCTCAACAGGGTTGTAAGCGCTTCTATTCCTCCTCACTGATGGGCTGTGCTGGTTTGTAAAAGGTTTTGTTATGCGGTGCAAACCCAGTAAATGAGGAGTCAGGAAATTTGGATTCTAGTCCCAGTTGCCCTACTTACTGGCCGTGTGACATTTAAAAAGCTTTGGAGGCAGGAACGACACATGACTTATTCATCTTTGTGTCTAGAACATTTGGCATGAGTAGAAGTTCAACAAGTGGATGAACAACTGCAAAATCTTTCCTACCCTGAGGTCCCCAAAGCCCATTGCCAACAGGACTTTTGGGACTTAAACTGCTATTTTAGTCAGGAGCATATATATAGAGAGAGGATATCTATGCAGACCTTAAAAGCACACACTGGAACATAAGCAGGGCCCTTTGTTTGAGCAGGGCTGCGATTGTAGAGGCCTCATGCACATGCACAGACCCCCAGTTCCCGGGGCCTCTTCAGAGTCTCAAGGAAGATGCCGAGCATCTGGACCCCTACAAAGTGCCAGCAAATGGAGTTTGTTTCAAGTCATCTCCTCAGCGCGGGGCTGGGGAATAGGCACACAGTGGCGACGAAGTGTCTGCTTGTCCTGAATTCCACCTACTAGAAGGAAAGACAAACAATCGAGGAGAAAGTTTGCAGGTAGGAGGAGAGAAACCTCTAACGTCTTCAGTCTTGGCCTTCAAAGAAGTGGCCCCAAGAGCCACATTCTGGGCCGACCTGAAGCATTTAGGGGTGTCACAAAACCAGGGAAGAGACCACACAACCACTTGCTGGAGCACATAAAAAGCCAACTGCCTCTTGGCCTCGTGGTAATGAAGACAATCACTGGCATGTCTGATGCTGCTGGGACAACCTCGGCCCTGGGGCCACGGCGAGGGGATTTCTGGGCAAGGCCCCGAGAAGCAGTGCCCTCAGCTCCAGCTGGGTGCTCCGGCTGACGGCAGAGCCGGCCTTCGGGGACGCTCACGCAATGAGCCCTGTCCTACTAAATCACACCAGCCTTTGCAAACCCACAGGAAAGACCAGGGTGGCCTTTCAGAGGCTCAAGAATGCTTGGATGAATGGAAATGCCTGAGCCGACAGAGATGTGCCTTCCCCTCCTGGCTTCGCCCTCCTCACCCCCAAAGTCCCCAGCCCTGAGCGGGAACAGTCCCTTCTCTCAAACAAAATTTTTACGGCTCTTCCACTTTACAGCAGACACTACCTCGTTGTATCCTCATCACGATGCTTCCCACTTAACTCATTTTGCTAATAAAGTCACCAACTTAAAGGGACTCTTCTCGTGTCCCCTGGGCTGCCTAAGTGGCAACATTCACTCAACGTTTTCTGATTTGAAGTTCCTGCTCTTTGCTGTACATTTTGCTGAACCACTGACCTAAATTTGATCTATCTTCTTACTAGGACCTCTTGTTCAGGGGTTCTCTCCTTTTGGGTGTCCCCTAGCACAGCGAGAGTTTCCTGGGGTGGCAGTAGGGGAGCAGATGGCCTGTGCCCTTGGTGGCATCTCGGTAGGCCTCTCCCAGACTGCCAGACAGCCTAGAGGTTCTCTGAAAGAGGGAGAGCAGGACACCCTGCCCTCCGGGGCCCTCTGGGGTCCTCCGTGACGGCGGTCTCCTCTGGCCTGCACTTGAGGCAGCCCCGTAACCTCCCAGTAATGGCCCAGGGCAGGGCGGTGGCCCCTCGATTACTGGGACACTGATAGTATTGGAGACTGGGTTTGAGTTTGAACCAGTTTCCTCGCCGCAGGGTGTGGAATCAGGCTTCTTTCCAACACATTCTCAGCAGGAGCCGCTAGTCTCCACTGGGCTTCCATCAGCTCCCTGCCCAGCCCACCTCTGTCCACCTTCCTTCTGCCCTTTGACTTTTGACAGCCAGGGATTTTCCTCCAGGAAGTCCTTACTACTGCAGCTTCTTCATGGAAACCGCAGGGCTTCCCTGCCAGCCGGACACATGGCACATGGCTGGGCCTGGGCCACGCGCGGCAGCAGGGCCAGAAACAGGCAGGTCGGGCCCTTGGCCCGGGGCGGGGGGGGGGGGGGGGGGGGATGGGCCTGACCAGTCTCCACTTGCCCGGAAGCTCCCTGGGACCCGGGGGGCTAAGTACTGTCCTGCGAAGAGTGTTTCCTCCCTCCCATGTCCCCGAATGCTCAGTCAGGTGCCTGGGCCAGCACTTCCCACCCCACACCCCCCTCCTCCCAGGTCCGGCTCCGTCTTATCCCCCCAGCAGTGCACAGGCCCCAGCACCCAGGCCATCCCTGTACCTCTTGCGGGTCCTCAGCTTCATGGTCCTTTACTCCTTCTCTTGTGCGTGCCCCGTGGCCCCCGGGGGCTGTTCCTGCTCACCCCCACCCCAGTTCCTGCTCTCTGGGCTTTTCTCCACAAACTCCCTGGCTCCTCTTGTTCAAGAGACTCCTGAGGCAAGGCTAAGTGCAGAGCTGGGGCTGAACACTTTTCCTGTTGACTTCACATCCCAGGATAGCAAAACTTTAAGAACTCGGGAATCCAGAGGTCATGCCACTCATCACCCTACTTTTTATATAGGGGAACCGGAGTCTGGAGAGAGAGGGGACCAGAGGGCCCGGACATAGCAACCAGATCAGTTAGTGCACAGTGGCACGGCCAAGTCTGGGCCCCAAGGCCCCTAAATCCAAGTTACCATCTCCCCATTGCCTAAGGCCAATGCCTAAGGTCACTTACTCCTAAGTGGCTGGTCACCGCAGGCCCTGGAGCCTCCTTCTGGCCTTACTCTGATCAGGCTGGCTAGGGACCAAGGGGGCCTGTGCGGTGGGAGGGCTGGAGGGTCGGGGAGGCCGTAGCTGTTTCACTTGCTCTCAGCCAAGCCCTGACGCATTTCGAGGAAGGACACTACTGCACCAGCACCGCGTCTCCTACCAGCTGGAAGAGCATATTCCTTCCGACCCACTCCCGAGAAAGGAGCCCTTGGGTGAAGGCTTCCCCAGGCCCGTCGAGGAGGGGAACGAGCTGCCATTATTTCTTTGATTTGGGCTTCTGGCCCCTCATCCTCTCCGGACCCCCGGGGCCTCGCAGAAGACCCTGACACCTGGAAATACACCCACCCTCTGGCCTGGGGTGAGGGGGCGGGAGAGGGGCTCAGCAGGTGGAGCTTCCCCAGCCCCCAAGCTGCCTTGCTCCCAGCCCTCCGCCAGCTCCGCTCACTGGAGGGAAGCAGCGAGCAGGAGGCCAAGACCAACAGAGGCCTGTGCACCCTGCCCTGAGGGCAGCAGCCGGGAGGAGGCTTCTCAGTCCCAGGTCAGGGGCCAGAAGCCAATCCCTGGGAGCCTCAGCGGGCCTCTGTCCCGGGCTGGTGGCAAGCCGCTGCCTGTCCCCTTCTGGGCCTCTCCCTCCAGGCCTGTGGTCTCCTCCGCCTTTCCCCTTCCCCTCCTCTCTCTCTCTCTCTCTCTCTCTCTCTCTCTCTCTCTCTCGATTCCTCTACTTCTCATCTGTCTTTTCCTCTGACTCTGCATCGTTTTTTTTTTTTTAAGATTTCATTTATTCATTCATGAGAGACACACAGAGAGAGAGGCAGAGACACAGGCCGAGGGAGAAGCAGGCTCCTTGCAGGGAGCCCGACGCGGGACTCGATCCCGGGACCCCGGGGTCACGCCCTGAGCCGAAGGCAGACGCTCAACCACTGAGCCCCCAGGCGCCCCTGACTCTCCATCTTTTTGCCAGTTTTCCTTCATGTCCCATCCTCAGCTTTTCTGTTTTGTCCGCAGCCTCCCTCCTCCGCTCTCCTGCCCTCTCTCCGCGGTTGCCCCTGCCGCTCTTTCTCCCACAGCACGGACCCTGTTTCCCCAACACTGCCCGGCCCCTGAGCACCGCCCTGCTCCTCGCTGTCCCCACACCCCCTTTGCTGGGTCTTCACTGGCCTCCCGCCCCCCCATCTCGTGCCTCGCCCCCTCCCGCCCTCCCTCTCATTCGCCCCCCTTGCCCTCTCTCCACGCAGGCAGCCGTCACCTGCCCCAGGTGCATCACTCACCTGGGACCACGGGCCAGAGGAGGCAGGAACACAAGCAGCTCAGGAACACCCAGGGGACCCTCCGGCCCCGGGCCCCCCTCATGGTCCAGCAAGGTTCCCTCGGCCCGGGGAAGCTCGGCAGCACACAGCAGGTGTGAGGAGCAGAGAACTGGCGGCTCAGGCTGGGAACAGGTGTATTTCCCTGAGGGGCCCAAGTATCAGGGGAGGAGGACAAAAGAAGGCGGGGCCCCCTGCCAGTCAGCCTTGCCCGGCTTTTCTTTCCTCAATCTCCAGCCGCCGCTGTTCCCCCACCAGGAAAAAGAGAAAACCCTGATCCACCTATTGATCTGCTCCCGGGCAGCCTGAGCTGCTTAGGGGGACGCATGGCAGGGGCAGCTGCGGTCAGACACCCGGGCACACTGGCAACGAGCAGGCCACCCTTCTGCCTGGAACCTGTGGGCCCTCCTGTCCCTCCCCAAGGGCTGCCCTGTCCTGCCAGGGCTTCGGGCTGCTACCAAGGGAGGCAGCCAGGTGGTTTCAGAAGAAAGGGAAGGGGAGAACGGAGAACACGGGAGCCGAGAGGGAGTGAGTTTGGGGCTGTATGATTTGGAGAAGGATGAGCTTTGAGGAGACCCTAAGGAGTCTCACAGGGAGTGAGGGGACAATGCGGGCTGAGAGGTAGGCGTTGGAGATGCCCTGGATGCAGGGGCACCCAGGTGGCTCAGTCCGTCAAGCCCCTGTCTCTTGGCTTTGGTTCAGGTCATGATCTCAGGGTCATGATCTCAGGGTCATGAGATCGACCCCCCAGTTGAGTCCCACTTTGAGCCCTGTGCTCAGCACAGAGTCTGCCTGAGATTCTTTCCCTCTCTCTCTCCCTCCCTGTCTACCCCCACTACACTTGCTCACTCTCTCTTGCTCTCTCAAATAAATAAATGAATAATAAACAAATAAATGAAAAATAAATAAATGAAAGAAAGAAAGAAAGACCCTGTATGTAACTTTTGGAAAGGGGCATTGGGCTCAGAATATCTGCTTAGCACCAGACACAACATAGACTCTCACCAAATGGTGGGTTTCTTCTTTCCAAAGGAGGGAACACAGAGCCGGGGTCCAGAGAGCCCAAGGCAACTTGGGAAAGTGGCTTTAGGGATCTGGTATGGGTAGTGGGATTGAAGGTACAGGCTGGGGAGAAGTCCTAGTGATCCTACAAGAAACTATGGGATTCTCTTCTGGAAATCATAAGGCTCAGGTCACCCCATTTTTACGTTTTGGGACTTGCCCACAGCCAAGAGGGAACAGGAACCCCAGACAGGGTGTGCCAGGTATAGTTCTGAGGGTGGGAAATGGGTGTAGCTCCACAAAGGAAAACAGTGGAGATCTTCCCCCACCCCTTGCCACAGCATGAATCTCTCCCTCTGGTTCCTCAAGACTTGGTTCCCTGTGGGGGGTGGATCTATGGAGTGATTGATCCCAAAGCAGGGCGTTCAGAATCTCAAACACAGGCCCAGCCCAGGACAGGAATTAGCATTTCCACATTACCAGGTGGAACAAGCCATATCCAAAGAGGAGTAAACGGCCGACGCCATGATGCTCTCAGAGGACCACGAAGGCCCCACCACCCTGTTGGCTCATGACTTGCTGAAGCTTAAAATCCAATTACATCCAAGGCATGAAGGCCAGACCTTCTAGTTATAATGCGGATACTGCAGGAAAGTAGCATCGTGTCTCTATCAATCCTTTACCTCCGTATGGATGAGCTGATCCCATTCTCTCCCAGGAGGAGGAAATTTATAAAGGCAAAGGGGGATTTCAGGCAGAGAGTATCTAGACAGAACAGGAGGAGGATATCACTGAAGAGAATTTACAGACACCAAGGCCCAACTTGGTCTTCCTAATCATTCGTCTGTGTCAGGTCTTGCTCACGTGTTTTCCCTACTAACTCACTGTGTGTTTTGTTTGGTGACACTCTCTGGACTGCAGTGTCCATCTACAGAGTAGAAAAAAAGCATTACAGGTTAGACCAAAGGAAGATTTGGACATATTGTTGACCTGACCTCACAGATAACCTCCCACTTTCCAATGCAAGGAAGACCAGAGGTGCAAAATGTTCTTCGGAGGCCACTGCGGAGGCTGAGATTCCGCTGGGCATTAGGACACCTGGGCTTGAATCCCAGTTCTGCTACCCAAACTAAGTCACAGCGTTTTTGAACCTTATTTTTCTCATCTATGAAACGGGGATAATACATCAAAGAAAAACCAGCTGGACAGTAGTTAAAGCAGTAAAAACAGATTTTATTCAGGGCTCTTGCAGTAGGGGAAAGGACTTCAGGATAGAACCAGGCTCGACTCCGAATAGAGCACGGACAAGTGAGTGGGGCGCAGAAGAGGGTCAGTGGTTGGAACACTATGAAGAGAAAATATCGGGGGAAAGTGGGTTTCTAGTTAAACCAACCTAACTGGGCTCTTGCTGAAGACAGGCCAGGGTCATCAGATACCACCTGGGGAGTGGGAGGTGAGGAACCAGATCAGAGATCGAGGCGCTCAGATATTAAGGATGGAACACTCTTGCTGAACTGAATTAGCAGGGTTCTTGCTAAAACTGAACTTTACAAGGAAGTGCATAGATGAGCCTAGAAGAAGGTTCAGGAGCTTAAGATCTAATCAAACAAAATATCTGTCAATTCAACACCCGCCTCAAAGGTTGTGAGCTCATACATCATCCCTAATGGTAGAAACACATGACAGCAGCCAGGGGACAAGGAGCAGTCTGGAAAAGAATTTCCAGGCCCGTCTGTGTGCTGGGTCTTTGCTGCATCCCCATAGGGTTTGCAACCGCCATAGGGTTTTTTATTTATTTATTTAGTTATTTAGTTAGTTAGTTAGTTAGTTAGTTATTTTAAAGATTTTATTTATTTGTTCAGGAGAGACACACACACAGAGAGGCAGAGACAAAGGCAGAGGGAGAAGCAGGCTCCACGCAGGGAGTCCAATGTTGGACTGGATCCCGGGACTCCAAGGATCACGCCCTGGGCTGAAGGCAGCGCTAAACCGCTGGGCCAACCCGGGCTTTAGACATCGGTGTGTGCACACCTCATTCATCTTTTCTCTGCCTACCTCCACTTCCCTCTCGGTTGCCCTTTCTGCCCGGCTCCTTCTCAACTGGCTCCTTTTCCAGAGCGGGGATGGCTCCTGTGTCTCTGCAACAAATGCCTCTGTCTTTGTCTGTTTGTCCTTCCTTCTCCCCTCCCAAGGCATCCGATGGGGACACAGAGGGGAGAGTAAGAGGGGAGGCCATGAGTGGATTCTCTCCGTCCTGTTTGGTGGAGACCTCCTAGGCCTGCAGACCATGGTGTTTACTCACAGCAGGAACCTGAAACCAACTTTACGCTGATACTTCATGGGGACATCTAGAAAGCTCAGTCTGGACTTGGGGTATAAGTAAATTGGACCAAGGATAAGATTATGACCTTCTCAGACTTAGCTGAACAGATTCAGCCTGGGTTCAGGGCACTGGAGTCAAGATCCCAAAAGGAGATTTCTCTTCTAAGCTAACCAGAGTGGGAGGGCCTAGGGGAGCTTTGGGGGGAGGGAGTTGCTAAAATTGCTGACATCCTTATAATATATGCCCTGATAGACAGTCAGGCTGCTAATTAAGTTCCTTCTCACCAGACCTACACCACCTAGATGAGATGGGGCAGGAGGAGCCCCTGGTGGCTCAGGGGTTGAGCGCCTGCCTTCGGCTCAGGGTGTGATCCTGGAGACCCGGGACTGAGTCCTGCGTCGGGCCCCCCGGAGGGAGCCTGCTTCCCCCCTCTTCCTGTGTCTCTGCCTCTCTCGGTGTGTCTCTCATGAATAGATAAATTTAAAATCTTAAAACAAAAGAGAGAGATGGGGCAGTAAGTCAGACATCGGGAGTGCCAGGTCCTGCGTGTGTCCCCATAACCCTGTGAGGTGCATGTGTCCCCCCATCCCCCGGCTCACGCGGGAGAGCATCCAGGTTCAGGGAGATGAACAGGTGCCCCCGTCCCCGCGGAGTCACGATCCAGGCTGGGCGATGAGGCAAATCGGGAGACCACGAGCTCCCCTGATCACACGGGCACGGGCCGTGCAGGAGTCCCGGAGCTGTAGGGCAGCCCAGGCCGGCCTCCGGGCTCAGGAGGGGACGGAACCCGAGCCCAGTGCTCCACAGAAGGGCGACGGCAGAGAGGGCTGCTGCCCAGCTGCACAGGCGTGACGAGTTGACACCTTCAGCTTCTAGCTCCTTCGCGGTGCACCTCAGCTCTCAAGCCAACCTCATGCTCTTCTGAGCGAGGCAGCGGGGCCAGACCTTGGCTTCTCTACGCAGGTGTCGGGTCACTGCCAAGGGGGTCATTGGGGTGATGAAGGGGAAGCTCTGCTCCGGAGGCCTCGGCTCCCAGACCCCGGGGAAAGTGGGGGCCCTGGCATTTGGGCCACATAAAGGCCCCCATCGTTCTCCCAAGATGGGGTTTCTCAGCCCACGTCTTTAAAAGTGCCGAGCAGTGGACACCGGGTGCGATACTACATGTTGGCAAATCCAGCTTCAATAAAAAATTAATAATAAAAATAAAACATCTATGCAATAAGTAAATAAAGTGTAGAGCATCTTCATGCCAATTAGCTCAGTTCCTTCTCATTTGACTTCTGAGGCTTTGGGGGGCATAATGCCTACCCCAGCAGCACCTTCCTGCCTGGGGTCTCCGTGAAGGGGGAGCTGTCCTGAGTGTGCAGGCAGAGATCGAGGAGAGGTACTGACTCAGGGACCCCAAGTCTGCATTTACCCATCCACTCAAATTTATTAATTTTTTTAAAAGATTTTATTTATTTATCCATGAGAGACACAGAGAGAGAGGCAGAGACACAGGCAGAGAAAGAAGCAGGCTCCCTGCAGGGAGCCCAACGTGGGACTCGATCCCAGGACCCCGGGGTCACGCCCGGAGCCGAAGGCAGATGCTCAACCCTTGAGCCACCCAGGTGTCTCACCAACAAATATAAAGGGAAGAAAACCAAGGCCAGGAAGGTAGCCACAGGGTTAAGTCAAAAACCCAGCCCCCAGGGCCCCAGATTTGCTCTCCGCGTCCTACA